CAAAAAACACATTACTGTTATGCTGTTTATAAAGTGAACTGAAATATAAAATTTGGAGATTTTGTTATTATCAAATTTTATATTTCAGTTCACTCTTTGGCCATTGCGTACAGGCTATTCTCTTTCCCTCTCTTCTTTACTTACATCTTGGCTGTGAGAGGACGGGCCGTGACTCACCCTAAGGAACGTCCCGAGGGGCGTGTGGCCAAATGAAAGAGAATAACCTTCCTCTGCGCTGGTTTATTAACTCTAGATCGTTACATGTTAGGGCTGAATTGTTACGTTGACTTTTTCTTTAATTTAACTCCAATCAAATCAGATAAGGTTGATCTTTAAGACTTGCATAAGGGAAAAACTAGTCTTGCTCGCCCTAGCACCAACTTACCATGCCGACAGCCAACATGGTTTCCTCGCGTAGCTCTCGCTTCGCCTCAAGTCTGGTCTCTCTGCCCGCTCTCGTCCAAATGCCCGAACCTCGCGCGCCCGGCCACCGCCTAGCCTTCCCCCTCCTTCCTCAGCTCTTCCCCTTCCACGCGCCTCCTCGCTGGCCCCTCGGCGACCAAGTGGGTGGTGCGCGGGGTGCGGGGCACGAGGCGCGCGCTGAGGAAGAACTGAGCATTGCTTGGGACTTTTCCGTTGGCTTCGCCGGACTTCGCCGTATCTGCAGGCTTTTCAAAATGGAAATAAGTTTGCTCACCACCTTTTTATAATTTAATTCTCCATCGACCCCATGTCCGTGACAGTAAGATGATTTCGTTTTTATCTAAACCCATCACTGTTGATAATACTACGTACCATCGATTAGTGTTATGACCAAAGAAAACACGTTCGTTTCAACAAACACTCTGCCAAATTTCTGAATTAATATCCCATACATGGCATCATCAAGCACAAGATTTAAATTATGAGTAGTACAATGCACAAACAATGCATTGTCAAATTTATCCGTTTTTTTCTGAACACCATTGTAAATCCCTCTCATAACTGCTGCACAATCATATCCTTGACTTTCACATTTAGATATCAACCCCTTGTCCCTTTACGCATACGACAAAATCAAAATACAAACTTTATGCTGATCAACATCAACATCATTCGCTTCCCAAAAAATTTTCGACGAGATTTTTAATTCCGAAACTTGTTCTAACGAAATCCTGAGAATAATCAATAAACTAAAATATAAATATACATCTAGTTTAGATGAATTTCCGGATTTTTTATTGAAAACTTGTGTACCTACCGTTATGCACTCGTTAACACACATTTTCAATACTTCTTTATGCACAGGAATATTGCCAGATATTTTCGAAACAACAAAAAATTAAGCCACTTTTTAAAACCGGGAACAAAAATTCAAAATTAAAGGCCAATTTCTCTTTTGTCCATTTTCTCAAAAATATAAGAGAGACTTTTCTATACCCGAGTGGAAACTTTTCTATGGAAAAACGAAGTGTTTTCACGTTTTAAAAAATCGAAATCTACGGAAAGTACTATATTTTTCTTTTAGTAAAGATGTTGCTTTATCAAGTAACCAAAATAAAGCACCCATTGGAATATTTTTAGATCTTGCGAAAGCTTTTGACGTTATTGATCATAACATCTTGCAATCAAAATTACCTTCTAATGGAATTCGTGGTATTGCCCTAGATTGTATAACATCGTTCCTTAAACATCAATCTCAAAGAGTAGAAATACCATAGTGGCACGAAGGGACATTATTTATCTTTCCAATTCTTTACCAATATAATATGGGTTCGATCTTAGGATTCTTTCTGTTATACGTAAATGATATGCACTCGTCTATTAAAAACGGAAAAACGGTTATTTTTGCCGATGACACGAATGGGTTTTGCAAAAAAGAAACAGTTAATAGTACGATTTCAGAAGTTTCAAATTAGTTCTGTAGTAACAAATTAATAATTAACGAAGAAAAAACAATGTCAATAAGTTTTTGCATTTCAAATCAGCAATCGCACTGAAAATGAACAATATGCAATTAGCTGATGTTCATATAACAAAATTTCTAGGTCTCTCAATTCCGTGAAACCTCAAATGGAATGTACATTTAACAGAATTAAACACTAAATTAAGTTCATTACGTTACGCATTGAGAATTCTTTCAAATTCTGTCAACCTTCATGCAGCTCGTTGTGTATTTTGCAAATGTGCATTCCTGCCTGAGATATGACATAATCTGCGAAAGCTCATCATGTAGTACCCAGACATTTACATTGCAAAAGAAAAGTATTTGAATAAATTCCTTTCTTCATTGAGCACGGAATCTTACCATTGCCTTGCCTATTTATTTACGAATCTGTAATATTTGTCAAAAGTGATTTACTTAACGGTGGGAACATATTTTCATACAAGACTGATATTTATATTTACAACACACATCATAGAAATCATGCTCATCAAGTGCCAGTATCAACACCTCACTTGCCAGAAATCTACATGCAATACATGTACGTTACTTTACAACGCATTGCCAGAAGACATTAAACAATTGAAGTGGGTTCACAATTTAAGTTAAAAGTAAAATCTTTTCTGCTGCATAATCAATTAGAAACTATATTGATCATCAAAAAGAAAAATAATGTTTATTTTAACAAAACAGTTATATACATAACGAATTAGTTTACATTTGTATTGTATTTTTTTTTAAAGACTTATTATGCTTGTAACAAATAATGTACTTCATCTTCCAAGTCAATGACCCCATTTCGATCAGGTTTTTGTCCAGTTTCTCTGATCCATTGAGCAAATGCTGAGATGGCCCCTTGTTTTGCTTCTGGACATAAATGTTTCACTATGAGCACTCTCCTTTTACTTGTAGTGGTAGGAGTAGAGGTAAAAGCAAGTTACTATTTTGTTACCAACGCAGAGAAATTAAATCTGCAGTTTGTTTGCAAATAAGTCTCCTATAACACAGGAACAAAAATGTTGTTAATCTCGCGTTTTTCTATTTTTTTATTTTATTTTTTAACTGGAAGGATCGTGTGTACTCTTTCAAATTATTTATAGTTAAAATAATGGAAAGCTATTCTGGAACTCAAGAAAATGTGCACAGATGATCTTCTCCCCCATACGTCACATACAATTTTTACTGTTTCTTTTTTACTGAATAAATCAAATTTGATGGGAGTTCGTGCACAAAATCCTACACCGGTCACACTTTCGTAATTATGATCGGCTATAGAGACAACATGGCTTAATATTTCTGCAGGGGACTTCCAACGACTTCTTGTGCTCATACAGGGCCATATGATAGAGTAAACTATGTTATTCTTGTGTGCAAAATAAAATAGTGTAAACTATTCAAAATTTTGAAGAAAAAAAAACACGTTTTTTTCCATTGGTCATTTTTTGAATAAAGGTAGCCCAAACATTAGTGTTCCCTGTTGCTATTACTATTACTACCTACTTATCTAATGAATATGAAGGGTATTAAGTGTTATTTAGGATACTTTATTATTTGCGTATAAAGGCAAAATTTCGCATTTGCACCTCGTGTAACACGGGCTCTACAATGGTTTAAAATGACCAGCTCTTGCGTGAATGCAAGATAGGCATCTAGCCAGGTAGCGGCGAAGTCTTTTCGCCCTTGGAAGACCCTTTTGCTTAACATTTCCAGGACATTGACATAGTAAATAACATTGTTGTCCTTGGGATACAACTCTTTTATTTTCAGAACAGAACAGAAAGAAAATTTTCTTCTGTTAAGGACAGCATTTTAGGTGACTGTGTGTCCCGTTTTCTCGGGTCTAGACTCCTCAGTTCACCGTTTTGGCATTAACATGCCCTGTGATTTCTACCGTGGACAACCTAGCACTTTTCTCGAGTTCATCAATATAATTCGTGAAAATTGCTTCAGTGTCGTTGGGCGAGTAGTAGGAGCAGCTGTATATCCGAATTTGTTTGGTCTCTACCCAGACATACCCTGCCACTGTCTCGCTGTAATTCTTGTTGCTGCCCATCGTGTGCCATCCTGGCATCAGGGAGCATAATTCGTTTTTGGGTAGAATTCATTGATTAGAATTAGATCTGAATCTTTCTCGTCAACCGTCGGCATTAATAAATCTAGAGCTTGTTTACCTCCTTGTTAATTTGTAGAGTCTTCACTTCCTTTCCTGTTGTTTCTCAAGCTCTTTCTTATATGATGTACATTCCATACTCCGCTATGTGTGACACGAGCTTTGCTTAGCATTGCCATTGCATTTCACGCATTCTGGTTCATTTTCACAATCTCTAGATTTGGGCCCTTTTTTTTCCAGAAGCTCATGTTTTATCCATGCCGCTATATGTCCATGCCCTAAACATTTGTAGCACTGAGTAATTACCCATTTCCCTCCCCATCATTATGCGAGAGACACAAATAGAAAGTGAGATGGAAAGAAAGGGAATATATGAAGTTTTAAGAGTTCTTGTGCTTTTATTTTAATAAATAAATCGGATTCGATAAATAAATAAATCGGAACAAATCCTTATAAAGCACACTTTCCTCTGGTACGAATGTACAGTAGTTCTTTCCATGTTGTACATAACACTATACAAAACGACTCCAGCTTCAAAATGCTTTTGCCTTTGCTTGGGCCTTCCCCAGCAAAGTTCATGGGCAGATTGCATTGTGGCAAAAAGACTGCCAATGAAATGAATGGCAAACATGTGCACAGTCAGGTCCTTTCGGAGCACATTTACAGTCTAAATTTAGAAAACAAATAAAAAAGCTGAAGCAATTTAAAAAAAGTTATTTATTTTATGTAAATAAACGTTAAAACCTGTGTGTGACATAATATGGGGAGAAGTGTATTTTGTGCTCTATAATTCTGGGATCGCTACTAAGCCATAAAGACATTAAATTCTGAAAACAAAAGCTGAACTGTGCCATTCTTTTAATTTGAATTAAGAATATTGCATTCTACACTCCAAAAACAGGTATGATATAAGGATGGGATGAAATAGCTAAGATATTGGCAAATTTTCATAAATAAAGTAAACCGTTTGAAAAATCCTGAATTTTTTAAATATATTTTAGCAATTTCGTGAATTCATACAATAGAACATGTATCACTAAACTTAACAAAAGCATAAAATTTACTTCAAAACATATCCATATTTATCATCTTTGGTGTTGTAAAACATAAAAAAGTACTAATATAATTATGTGCCTTCTTTCAAAATCTCATATAAATGTAGAGTATAATATCAGTACGTTGCAAAGGATCTTTCTCACACAATAGCAAACAAAGCAAATAATTCATTCTTCAATGAAACCTGGAAAACAAAATAGATGATAGGATGAAATTAATGAGGAAAGAGGAAGATGTCAAACATAACAGATGAGCAATGGTAAAGATAAAAGAGATGAGGGAATGCAAAAGAAAGAACAAGATTAAAATCACTCATCACATGACAGCTAAATTCTTTCCTTGATTTTAACGCAACACTTCTAAACCATGTCACTGAGAAGCCAACAATTCAGTGACTCATGTCATATTTTATAGTTTCTGTGAGTGTGAGAAATACAATATACATAGACATCACAAGCGAGATTTTCAACACTACTGATATGACTACATAAATCATTTTAACTGTAATATTACAGTACATTTGTGTTTACATCGTGTTCCAAATGCAAAGAGAAAGCACTGAATATACAGGACTAATATTATTGCAATTTTGCTCCAAACATAACTGAAGCAACTGAGAAACTGTGTAGACACTTCACAATACTGACATACATGAAACTAATATAACTACAAACTTCAACACTCACTTGATTATTGTTTTTATAAAACAAGCTTTATCACAATACAATTTGAAATATGAAAAGCAGGTACTTAACTCAAAACCATAATTTTTTTTAAACTCAGCTATTTAAAAGTGAGATCACAGCAAATACAACAACCTGAAGAATGTATGCAATTCTAAATAAATATATGATACAACATATTGCAGTGAACAATTGAAAACTATCAAATAAAATCTCATCATGACCTTGACTAGAATGTAATGAAATATTTTCATTATAATTATAATAATCATGACTGAAATCATCAGATGAGTCCAAAGAAAATGAACAAACCATGCCAGAATCAATGGCACATCTCTGAAGGTCTGTAGTTGTGTAGCGAGTCCTGGATGCAATGTTTGAAAACCTCCCCACCGTAAAATCACCACCTGAAGCTGAATCTTGTAAATTTTGTGAAGGTCTTGATAGTAACTCCTGCACACGTGGACTAAAACGTGAAACAGTGTTTACTTTGGAATGAGACCCCGAGGCTTTGGAAAAAGAGGTGGCGTTGAAGGTGGGGTACTTAAAAAGTTTCCCGACTGGCTTGAAAGATCGGAACTTTTCTTCCTGTAACCAAAAATTTAAATTCAATTATTAGAATCAAGTATTAAAATACGTACTTATATGACACAGGTTATCACATAACAATAACTATTACATTGTTTAAAGTACATGAAACAGAAAATGTGATTGTGGTTTTTTTTGTTTTGTTTTGTTATTTTAATTTAAGGTTGATTCTCCAAGGTCATTAGCGACCACATTATTAATTTTGACCCTACAGAATCCGTAAGAGTAGACAGTCTATTGTCAAAAGGACCTACAAGTAGCACTTCTTTACGCACGCTCCTGCGTCACTACCCAGAGGCCAGAAATGGGAAGGAATTAGAACAATGGTAGGGTTTAGGAGGGTTGGGGTTCACAAGGGCTGGACTAGCCCCTGAGAAGCAGCCAAGCTCATTTTGTCAGAACAAATTTCACATGAGATTGTGCAGGAATCAAACCCGGGTCTCCTTGCCACTGCTCTGAGCCACGACATGGCCTGCGATTGTGTTGTTTTGCATCTATGACACAATCACACTTTGCCAGCCATCTCTTGAAACAAAAACACTCATTCAATGCAGTGATTTCAAAATTTTGGAAGTTGAAAACGGATATCTACACAGACACAAATTCGAAGCCATCTACTTTAACCATTAATTAAACAATCCCCAGTATTCTATTCTGAACAAATTCCTTCCCTCTCACCCATCCTGAAGTTCATTGAAGAGATGCTTCTCACGCACATTAACTTCTCCTCCCGCCTGTTTTATGACACCTGAGGACTCCCTTTCTTTAATAGCCGTTGCTTGGAAAAACTCCTCGTTCTCCCCTTGCCATTCAAAACTTTCCTTTCAAGAGCAATGCCCTTCACCCACACTGTTTTGTCTGTGCTGGGGCTCGCAGTCGCCTCAGAATTGGTATGTCAGTTTGGCCATCTGAATTTATTTATCTATTTTATTTCACCTTACAATAATAATTGATGCCAATTTCAAAATTAACTTTCTTAAAATTGTGTTTCTATTTTCACAATTTATACTTCCATTTTATTTTATTGTGCTCAGATTCCATCTTTTCTTTAAACAAATTTAATTATTAAAATGTATTGTAACTCATTAAAAAGATCACAATTTGGATTTCTTTACGATTGCAGAATATATTCTCCGAGCGTAACTGCGTCCAACAAGGTTAAAGGAATGATGATAACTATATGTTCTATAATACATTAAAAAATTAAATATAATTTTTTTTATTTTGTTATTTTTGTAGCACTGAATGGTCGCAATGAGATTGAAAAAGCTTTATGCCCCAATAAATACAACAACACTTCAAATCTATTTCTATTAAGATTAAAATGAGGAAAGACACTTTCCACCCGATCAAGAAAATTGTGTATTCCTCATTTTCATACAATTTTTCTTTTTCATACTTGGCCCCTCATTTGTACAACCAACTTTCAGAAGATATTTGGATATGAACCTTTCCAAAAAAATTTACTATTGCTTTTAATTAAAGGAATTACTGGTTAGAGAGTATTATTTCATTGTGTTTAGAAGGTAGGTTAGTTAGTTAGGTTTTTTTTTGTTTTGTTTTTTTTTTTTTTTTTTTTTTTTTTTTTTTTTTTTTTTTTTTTTTTTTTTTGTTTTTTGTTTTGTTTTTTTACAGCGGGGCATTTGCCTCACACATTTTTTTTACAATAGAGCAATTATAATTTAAATTATATTTATATTTTGTACAAATAATACATTTTTGATTTTAGTATGCAAAATAATTGTTTTCATTTTACATTTATTTACTCTAATGTTATTGTTGTTGTTATTATTACTATTCCTACTGCTACTACTTTCTCGCACATAAGATGGAAATTCTAAGGAGAGGAAGTTTTGGAATGCTGAGCGAAAAACGGCGAATGTTCGGCAGAAAAACTCATTACAAGGCACTGCAAAGCTTACAAACGCAGCTAGTAAGAGAAACCATTCCTTTCATTCAGGGAATCATTCAGTCCTTTCCTTCTTCAGGAATGACTACTGTCTAGTGTCCAGTTTTAAGAATAGAGTGTTTGTTTCATATGCGATTGAATGGGCTAAAGGAAGGAAGGATCGCGCCTTCTCAGCTAGGTGTTTCCTCTAGCAGAATCTTTCAAAAGAGAGCGCAGACAATAATTCCTCCATAGAAAAGTGGGAGTTATAATACTCTTCTAGACAACTCTACCCGTCTCGTCTGACAATTGAGAAATTCTGCAGAATGGAGGTGGACACGTCTTCTGGGGAGGTGATCAGATTGTTGTTCACCCGCAACCCCGGGGTGTTCTGGAGGTGAAAGTCTTCCCCCCATTTGACAGCCCTAGGGACGATTTCCCCATGTTTCTTACACACAGGTGACAGATCTACGGGGGATGAAGTTCACTCATGATCGGACAGCGTTTTTGCATATTTTAACCCATACAATATAATACAAAGAAAGAAACGACACATGCTATTCATGATTTCCCTTTGCAGTGGAATCACTTGTGTCATGTCAGAAGATTTCACCTTTGCTGAACAACAATGAACAAACTTGCGAGCACTTGCCATGTATTTCATGTCGAGCAAGGCAGAACAACTTTCAAAAACCTGAGTTCACACTACTTGCGGGACGCAAGCAAGTGAAGTTACCAGCACTTGCTACGGCGGAACAAGGAAAGTGGCAAGGGCATTTACACGCTCAATTTCGCTTGCGTAAGCGAATTGCTCTGCAATTTCTCGCATTACTCCATGCACTTCTGAGAAAAGTAGGAATATCCTAAGGAAAATTGGATAATTTATCTATTCGCTATCTATGCAACAAAAATAACTAAGTGCTAAAAGAGTACATACTTTCTCACACTATTTCTAACTTTTCAACAATTTTCGAAGATTTCAACAGAGTCCTGTACCATTCTTTTAAGCATCTCATGTTCTATCCGTGGAAAAAAATTGAAGACAAAAATTGGAGCGGTTTTTGAAAAAATGTTTTTTTTTAATTAGTTGCATTACTTAAAGCAGAAATTACGTGAAAAACTTCTTTTGAAAACTACTCGTGAAAAATTTGTACATGGCCCTTTCCAAAGATCTGACTTTTTAGAACATTTCATTTACGACAAAACTGTCTTCAATATTGCCTTTTGCATTAACTTTCGAAATTCGAAGCAATTTTCGAAAACTCAGAGATCGGCGAAAATGGGACCAACAACACTTTTTACCGTCATTCGACACATTCGAAACAAAAAAGAAAACAATATTTAATGCCGTTTTGAAGAAGGAAAAAAGTTTAAAAATTGCCTATGTCACGCGCAAAGTTAGCGAAAACTAATCATTATATCAAGATTGTATATAAACTCAGTTTAACATGTCTTAAAATAACAGATTTCATTAAGGAAATATCTCGTATCTTCAATACTGTAGTTGTAGGAAGACGAGAGAAAAAAACCTTTTACAAGTTTCCAAAAATCAGGGACTTCAACGGCAATGAGACCTGCCTCAAAGTTTAATTTAAAAAAATTGGAGCCCAAAAAAATCAAAATTTCCGTTTCAAATTCGCTAAGACTGAAGTTCGTTCAGATCGATCGTTGGTTGGTCGTTTGTAATTGACGCGCCCGGAATTCCCGAGGTCGCTAGTCCCGTAAGTGTAGTGCACGTTCCCCCTCAGGATCCGGCGATCTACTAACATGTAAGACAGTGCTGTCAGCATTTTCTGCTCACGTGAGGAGAGAGAGAGAGAGATTTGGTGTGATGAATGTAATGGATAAAATCCGTACATCTAAGTATATTGAAAATTATTTTAGAACAGAATTCTTCTCAAATTTATAACCATACGTTTCTTCAATCACACCTTCTAACCATTTAACTTGAGTATGTTGTGATGCTATTTGTAAGCCCCGCCCCCGTAAGTACACAGTGTGTCTAAGGAAAGTTTTCATTTCTCGAAAAGGCACTACAACTTGTTTTGCTGGCCAGACCAATAAATTTCAATTCTTCAACATTGTAAATGAATTTCTAAAGTATACCTCTTTCTGAGTTGTCTTTTTTTTAATGTAATAACACCTTACATTCTTTTTAAATGTTACGAAATAATTTCAAATCTGATTTGATTCATTTTATACCATTATATGTAGTCATATGATTTGTAACACTGTAGGAATTATTTATAAGAACAAGTGTCTGTTGTATTCTCACTACCACAGTTAACAAACCATATTCCGGCTTCACAATACATTCATCCTTGAATGGTGAACTACCGTATACAAACATGAATAGCAAGTTTGTTATATTATTTAAATGATTAAATTCACACAATAGCAAAATTTACATAATCTACAATTTCTCATATTAATGAATTATTAGGCCAATTATCAAATTTATCATTACCTTTTTCAATTTATTTATACATCTTGGTTTTAAAAGAACTAAAACAATGATGTAAATTTCCAAAAATTAAAGAATAATTTTTGCCTGATGTGGTTAACATTTTATTAATTTCTAATTTGTGAAGAGAGTTATAAATAGATCAAGTCAATTTTGAAGTCTTAAAATGTCACCACTGTTTCGATGCTACTACTCAACTGATTCTTGCTTGTGTTTTTTCTTAGTTATTAAAATAATAATTTATTACATATATTTTGAACTACAAAACTATCTTTATCATGTGAAGTAACAAAGAAAAGATTGCTCTTTTGCTATCATCTCAAAATATAATTTTATTATTTTGTTTCGTGTATTCCTTGTACTTCCAACACTTTACTGATAAAGATTTAGATAAAGAAAGATGTAGTTGCAACTATAATTTCGGGCATACTAAGAAAAACAATACTGATAATTTAATTCATATGCATGCATAAAATATAGTGACATGAATTCTCTTAGCTAACACAACATATAACTGATTTAGTGTACATGAATTCATTAACTACTATCACATTTTCAAGAAAAAACTGATGAAATATGATTTTCCATCACAGGCCAAAATGACTACAATTAATAAATTTGAACATAACTAAGTTTTCTTATGCAACA